GTCGCGCTGACTCCCGCCGCGTAAGCAAGAATCGCGGCGCGACAATGTCAGTGTACGTAGTTCTATGCAAGATTACATCGCGAGAATAGCAAATATACATCCCATTCAGTAGTATATCGCGACAAAAAATAGCGATCGCTAAAATCGCGTCTTATTTCGCGAGTCTTATAGCGATCGCGGCGCGATTTTTTAGCGCGAGTCGCGCCGCGATTTCATCGCGAAAGTTGACTTGGGTCATCAGTAAAACAAACTTGTTCTCTTCTTTCAAATAAATTCAGTTAAATAAGCGTACCGTGAAAGTATGCTTAGTGGCTTATTTACTGAACACTCAATTTCGATCGACATTTCATTAATTTGTTTCTCTTTGTTGACAATGACTCATTTTTTGATATGCTAACTATTGTGACATATTAGATGAAAATGTTTAATTACACAGTATAATTTACATTCCATGTAACTTCTTTTCGTCTATACATTGTGAACATTCAAAAGATGATTTAGCTAAGATGTGCGTTTTTTCGTTACTGAGAAATCTTGCAGCTAGGAAATGGTGTAAGATGAAGTAGCTTCGATGAATTGTATAAAAGACGAGTTCTGATGGAGAAAATTGAGAATTACAGGCAGAATTCCGATTTTTTTTCAGATTTTTAAGGAAAAACCTTTAAAACGTGTCTGAAATGATTTTTGCCTAAAAGTTTAAAATCACTTTTCAATAGAGCTCGCTTTGGTCTATCTATCCTGAATATTGGATGCCTAGATCATGTTCGCTCAAGGAGGGAAGTGCGTCACAAATTTTACATGAAAAACCGAGATTTCTCCGGAAGAATTCAATATTTTTTGAGAAAAATTTCGAGATAAATAGTCCTAATGAAGATACATCTTCGATGAAAATTTCGTTGAAAAAGATCGCATCATTCGGAAGAAAAGTGGACTTTATTGATTTTCGACAAAGCTTGACCTCCATAAAGCGACACCTATAACTCGGGAAGGAAACAGTTTTAGAGCGCCATCTTTTGAATGTAAGCTAGTCTATATTGGTTCTATATATGGTAAAAATTATAACCCGATCGGTGACATCAAGTATCTGACCGTATCATACACTGTCGACTTTTCTCAGACAGTGATCCTTAAACTTTTATGACTCATTCGACTGAAAACATATAAAAAGTATAATTCCTGTTACAACTCAACTTTAAAAAAATTTCACACACTACAATACCGTTTATATATCATCTTTTTTGTAAAATTGTTTCAGTAGAAAACGCTTTCGTGTATTAGAATTATAAGGTGGAGTTAAATTTCTTACTTGTTGAGAAGGAAGATATAACCATTGTTGTAAATCATCTAATTGTCCTAAATATTCTAAAACATATGCAGCTGCTTTTACCATTTTTGTATAAGCAAACGTATTTATATTTTGTACAGTATCGCATTGTTCATGATAACATGGATCATGTGCAATATTCGCAATACCACCACTTTGTTCTTCACCTAATATTTCATGATAATAATCACGTTCTGCTTCAAATTTTATTTCATCTGCACCACTGAACAGTCCACCGGTGGCAATACCAACAGCTAAAAATGACGCATCGTCACTTAGACCGTCAAATTCAGTTTTTGTCCATGGTAAATTATTTTCTTTAAAGAAATTGCTAAATAACTGGGTTAATTTAACGCTCCCAGGTACGGCACGAGATGGAATTGTAGTTTGGTTAGCTGTTTCACCATCTTGGACACCGAAAATAAAATTTGGTGAACCTAACATATCAAAATTAAGATAGACAATATAATCCTGAAGACGTTCACCAATTTCAGTTGTATTATCAGCTTTGTTAACATGATCAATTGATCCTAGTAGACCATCTTCTTCGGCACCCCACCAACAGAATCGAACACGATAAGGTTAGTTTTTGTAATGTCTTGTTTTTAATAGTCTATCTAGATTATAAGCTAACGCCAAGTTAGCTGATGTGCCACTTCCGTTATCATTTATTCCACTCCCATCAAGAACTCCGTCACTATGACTGCCTACCACAATTGTTTTTGTTTTATCACCTGTCGGTGTATCTGCACACAAATTAGCGATAGATTGGAATGGTTCATCTTTAACTGTCATGTTAATTTGTACACTCACATTCGTTGAAATGTTTACTACTGCTTCAGTTAATTTTCGACCAACTTCATAGGATAAAAAAAGAACAGGTATTGTTGTTCCTTCTACTAAAGTACCAGAAATTGGTTGAAATCGTTCAGAGCCAATATTTCCATCATTATACAATAGAAGAGCAACTGCCTTATGTTCAACTGCTAAATCACTTTTATCAATAAATGAACATATACCTCGTTTAACTAAAGTTACACTCCCATCGGCTGGATAAGGATATGCTTTCTGCCAGTCGCTACTCTCACAACCAAAATTAGGAATGTTTGTTACACGAACAGGAGTTATTAAATTTGCACTGGCTGAGTGTACTAGATGCAAAAAGTCCGTTTCGTAGGTATAATTTGTTTTTATATCGTTGATATATGAAACAAATATTGGATTATGTTCTAGTGTAAAACTTGCAACATTAAAATATTGTCGTTGAACTTGTAAATCTGTATTTTGTACAAGATAATTATGAATGTAATCGACTGTATTATTAAACCCGATTGTTCCTGTTGCTCGTGTACCATCGGCTTTATTAGCTATAATTTGTAATTGTTTTAAATAATTCATTATTTGTTCTGTTGTTACTAAATCCACTAATGATTTTGCATAACTAGTTGTTGTTGTCGTTTTGACTTCTCCATTGCTGATGTTGATAACAGATGCGTTGGTCATACTGCTAGCGAATACATTATTATTTTTAGTCTTTATTATTATTCCTAAGGTTGCTGCCGATAATGCAATACTTGTTAATATAAATAAAAGGAGTAAAAAATGACGACTACGCTTTTTAGATTTAGGAACAGCTAAATCTTGAGCTGTTGGATAGATAACTGCAAGAGGAGCAGAAGGAGAAAGTGTAAAATTTTTGTTAAGTTCCATTATTGAATTATCTAATAGTGAGAAAAGAAGAAATAAAACGACAAAGCAAAAAGAAATCTTCGATAATTTTTGAACAAACCAATATCACTCTGTTCTTTTACCGTGGACAGTACATCTATAACTGCCTGTCACGCTCTATTCTCTAAACAAAAACAAGTTATTATGAAACCTAAAAGAGTATTCAGACGTGCAGCCATTTCGAAATCGTTTTAAGTTTCGTATGAATCCCTTTTGGGTTTCGTGCTTCTACTACGAAACCTTTTATGGTTTTGGGAAAACGGTTTCGAAATGCCTGCACTTCTCTGTACCTTTTTAGTTTCGTAATAAACCTATTCTTTTAGAGAGTACAACATACGTATAAATCAGTTCAACCTGAGATACTTCTATGTCTGTTGGACTCTCCCCAAAACCGTGTTAAACAAGCGTATGAATAATCGTGAATATTTCACTGTTAAAAATTTTTACGGCAGATAATGTTCGAATGTGTGAAAGTATGTCACAAACGTTATATAACGAACAAAAACTCATTAAACGTTTGATAAAGTGAAAATGTCTAGCAGTAGTAAGTTTTGGTAAAAATCTTGGTAACTTTTAAAAATTACCATGAGTTTTACCCAAAGCTGAAAATCAACTAAAAATTTCAAAATACACATTGATCGACTCAGTTTTTGATCCTGATTCCGAATATGATGTTTTATTGCTCAAAAGTTGAGTTTTCATGGAGAAAATTGAGAATTACTAGTTTTTCGCCCTGATTTAGAAAAAATAACTTTTCTCAGCCGCGAAACAAAATTTTAAAAAACGCATCGAGTACTTTTTTTCCTGCAAGTATACTGATTAGAAGATAACAATTAATG